TGAAATGTTTTCATATTTGTTGATTTTGTATTTTGTTTTAATATTTTTTAAAATTTAAAGTAGGTTGAATAAGACTGAAAATTGTTCCGGGCTGTGAATTTCTTTGATAATCTATTTGAAGGAGATGGCTCTCACTGGAAATAAAGAATTTGACTTGGATTAGTTGAACGCAAATAGGTAAGATCTATGCCAATGGTTTTCTCTTTTCTCATATCTTGCATATTTGCATTTTCGATTTCCCCTTCAATTTAGAGGAGGGGGAGTCCAATGTCATTTGGTAAGAATGAAATTCTAGATATAATAAGTGCCCTACAAGTTGACATTTTGTCAATCAATTGCAGGCTAGGACATCCATTTCTGTCCAAGAAAAGTCTATTTGGACAATGTAATTTTCATAGCTGGAATCACACAGCGGGTAGGAGTTGTCCACACTTATGGTTCTGGTAGTGCCTCTTGACTTGGCATATCTTAATTTATGCTAGGTTTGACTCGAAGGTAATATATGCCTGTTTTTAAAAAGTCTGCTTATTATTTGGCAAACAAACTTGAGATTCTAGATTCATAATCCCTCGTTTTCTGCTCCCTGGGTTTGATTTTATGGTACATGATGAAAAGACATGAACTAAATGCTTGTTCTTCTTAGAGGTGGAAAAAATGGGCCGGGTTAGGCGGGCCAACCCTAACCCGGCCCGTAAAAAAGAGGGCTCAAACCGGCCCGCCTTAATGGCGGGCCGGGTTGAGCCCAACCCGCCAGCAACCCCCGGGCGGGCCGGGTTGCACAATGGTAACCCGGCGGCCCGCGGGTTGCTAATTTGTCCTCTTTGCAAGAGGCCTGCAACCCGGCGGTTTTGCTGGCGGGTTGGCTGTTGCCAAGGCCACCCGCCGGGTGGCCCAAAAAAAAAAAATGTAAATCTTTTTATTTTTTTCATTACACTTTTACCCTTGAAATATAGCCGTTTTAGCGTTGGAGGGGTCTTTTTCGTCATTTTCTTTCCCTATTTTTTTTCTATAAATTGGCCTAAACTCTCATATTTTCTCACAACTCAAATTCTCTATTTTCTCATATTCTCTATTCTAATCTCTATTCTTCAACTCTCAAGTCTCAATTATTCATTTATTCTCTTAATATTTTTGTTATCAATTTGCTCTTATTTTAATTTTATTAGGTTTTGCAATTTTCAATTCATATTTCCAATTTCCATATTCCAAATCTCTTTCTTTAATTTTTTCTACATCATTTTTTTTTTCAACTACAAGTCTACAATGGATATATATTTCTCTCCATCAATTTCAATGAGGAAGAAAACTATTATCCAGTCCTAGTCCCGCTGATTTTACTATGAATGCAGGAGATTCAAATAGTCCCGTGCCCAATCCCAGTCTCAGAATCCGTACACCCAAAATATGCCGCCTTCCAACAGCGCCTGGTGGTTCTAGAAGTCGTCCTCGTAATCGTCGTCCTCGTCAACTTCATCTCAAGCTGAGGCGGGATCATCAACTGCCATCGAAAGCGAAAACAGACACACATCAGACGTTTGGGCACATTTCGAGTTTACGAGACAGAAAATGGCATTCAAGTCAAGAAAGCAAGATGCAAAATTGTGCAATGTTTATAAAGCTGATTCAGGTAATGGTACTAGTACTTTAAAAAGGCATGCTAATAACATATTAATCAAAAGGAAATAGAGAAAGCAATCAAACTCAAATAACTAATATGGGTACTACTTGGCGTTATAATTCTGATGTATATAGGGAACAGTTAGCTTATATATTGCTGCATCTGATCAACCTATTAATATGGGAGAAGATAAATATTTGAAAGATTTGTTCAAAATTCATTTTTTCAGGATTTAAAAGTTATTCTAAAACTGCAACTAGAAATGATTTAATAAAATTGTTTAAAAAAATGAATTAGAATTAAAAAAAATTTCATACTTGTCATATTAGTGTGGCTTTAACTGCGATATTGGGTGGTAGAGCTAACTAACAGATTATATTTGTGTGACTAGTCATTAATTTGATAATGAATTTAAATTAAATAAATCTTTATAGGATTTAGATTAAGGATATGGATCATAGTGGTTTAGAAATCTATAATAAAATTATTGAAGTTTTAGAAGATTGATATATTGATAAAGTGATAAGTTTAACTTTAGAAATGCAAGTTTTAATAGTAAAGCTATAGAATTTTTTCAAAATAATTATCTTTTATATAATAATTTGAAGTTTTTTCACTAACGTTGTGCATGTCATATTATTAATTTAATGTGAAAAGTGGTATGAAAACATAAACAAAATATTGATAGAATTAGGGAACTTTAGCTGGATTACTGGTAGTATAAAAGAATGCTGAATTTCAAGAAGCTTGTTAAAATCAATATGTCTCCTAGAACTTTTGCATTAGATATGCCTGTTAGATGGAATAGTACTTATTTAATGCTTGATTCTGTTTACCTATGCTAATTAATTAGTTATTTGTAGCAAAATATAGAGGTTCTCATCATTTGGTAGAAAATGATTGGAAGATAGCTAAAGTATTTCATTCTTTTCTCAAATGTTTTTACCAAGCCACTTTACAACTTTTGGTGTGTATTATCCTACTAGTCCATTGGTAATACATGCAATTATAAAAATTTCCGAGTTATTTACAAAAAAAAAGACAATGAAATTTTACATGCACCAATAAGGCAATGGAAAACTTTTTTTTGAAATATTGGAAACCCGTTCCTTTTCTTTATTGTTTAGGTGCTATATTTGATCCTAGAATTAAATTAGCACGTTTAGAAATGGTCTTGACAATTTAAGTGAAAATTTACAAAAACGAATCATATGTCATCAAATAGGAGAGGTAAAAATAGTCTTTTCGAAGTATATTTCCAATATGAAAACAGGTATGGGAACCGCAGTCGCAAAGAGGCGAAATATCCAGAGAAGTGTAGCTGAAGAAACAAATGAAGACTTATTCTCTTGGAATGCACTGATAGGCCGAAGAGGACCCGAGTCAAAGCACAGCTCCTCTTCAGAAGCACCACCACCACACAAACAACAACTAATATGCTGTCCTCCATGGAGTCGTAGAGTAATGAACTTCAACAATATTTGGCAACCCCCGAAATGTTTTCAACAGTCACTTTGATCTCTTAGAGTATTGGAGAGCCAGAAAATGTATTTTTCCGGTATTATCAAGACTTGCCTTGGATGTTTTCGCTGTTTCTGTCTCAACCGTCTCATCCGAACAAACATTTAGTGCAAGTGGAAGGATTTTAAATGAAAGAGGACTAAACTTGCTCCAAAATGATTGAAGTCCTCACATGTCTTCGAGATTGGGAACGATCGCGCCATCAAGATCAAACGAGGTTATCGACAATGCTTTAGTAGAATCATTTCAATTTTGTAATAAGAGATACAGATGAGGGAGGTCCTAGTGAACCACCCCCAATTTAGTTGTTTTGTAAAATGTAATTTGTAAATTAATTATCAATTATTGCACTTTTTTTCTTTACCAAGTTTTTCTCCATTGGGTTTTTCTTGGTGAGGTTTTAAACGAGGCAATATTGTTGTAATTTCTTATTTTATTTTTTGATAAATGAATAAGTCTAATTTTTCTTATATTACAATTTTATTGTATAAAATTGAATTAATATTTGAAATGTTAACAAAAAAAAAATTGAATTGAATGATTATTGATATTTGAAAAGTTAACTAAAAACAATTATATTATATTATTTATTTGAAAAGTTAAATTAAAAAAACAAAAAAAATAAAAAAAACACAAAAAAAAAAAGAAAATTGGGCGAACCCAGCCCGGACCGTGCCTAACCCGGCGGGTTAGGGCTGGCGGGCCGGGCTGGGCCAGCCACTCTCCCTAAATTGGCGGGCGGGTTAAGCCCAGCCCGCCAAAGCATGTAACCCGCCGCGGGCCGGGCCGGGCGGGTTACTTTTCCACCTTTAGTTCTTCTTAATAAATGCATTAAAGAAGTTCAGTTACTTCTTCAAGTACGAACTTATGTATTGCAAATATCTGAAGTTTATATGTTTTCGTTACCATAATTTGTTTCTAAACTTTTATATTATTCAATGCTATTTCCAGAAAGCCACTGCCGAAGTAGGACCTCTGAGAAATATTTTCTTGTATATTTATAATGAAATGTACAATGAATTTATAGCAAAAACAAAAAACTAATCTAGGAAGTAAATTGTTACATTTCTATTATAATTCTATTTCCTATTCCTATTATAATTCTATTTCCTATATTACAATGAGAATAATTCTATTTCCTATATTACAAAGAGAATAATTTTATTTCCTATTTTATATTTCAACACTCCCCCTCAAGCTGAAGCATATAAGTCATATGCACCAAGCTTGTTACAAATAAAGTCAACACAAGAACCTTTGAAAGACTTAGTGAGGATGTCTGCTAACTGGTTGTTGGAACTGACATAACTAGTTGCAATACACCCTGATAGAACTTTCTCTCGAACAAAGTGACAATCAATTTCTATGTGTTTAGTCCTCTCATGAAACACTGGATTTGAAGCAATATGAAGGGCAGCTTGATTATCACAGAGTAACTTCATTTGTGATACTTCGACAAATCTCAACTCTTGAATTAGTTGTTTTAACCAAACCAACTCACAAGTGGCTAAGGCCATTGCACGATACTCTGCTTCAGCACTTAACCTTGCAACAACTTCTTGTTTCTTACTTTTAAATGAAACTAGGTTTCCTCCAACAAGAACACAAAATCCTGACGTAGAACGTCTATCAGATGGAGAACCTGCCCAATCAGCATCTGAATATCCGACAATATGCAAATGGCCCTTATTTTCATACAGTAAGCCTCTACCTGGTGCTCTCTTGATATACCTTAAAATCTGGACAACTGCATCCCAATGACTATCACACGGGATTTGAAGGAACTGACTCACAACACTGACAGAAAAGGAAATATCCGGTCGTGTGATAGTAAGATAGTTAAGTTTCCAACAAGTCTTTGTTACCTTCTAGGATCAGTAAGGGCCTCCCCCTGTCCAGGTGAAAGTTTTAAATTAGGATCTATAGGAGAGTCCATTGGTCTGCAATCTAACATCCATGTTTCCTCTAGAATATCCAGTACATACTTCCTCTGAGAAATAACAATACCAGATTTAGACTGAGGGACTTCTATGCTAAGAAAGTATCTGAGTAGCCCTAAGTCTTTCGTCTGAAAGTGTTTGAACAAGTGTTGCTTCAATTGTCCAATGCCATCTTGATCACTTCCTGTAATAACAATATCATTGACATAGATAACCAGATAGATATACTGCCCTGATGATGTATGTCTATAGAAAACAGAGTGATTAGACTCATATCGAATCATACCAAACTCTTGGATAACTATGCTAAATCATCCAAACCAAGCACGAGGAGACTGTTTTAGACCATATAGAGAACGACGAAGTTTACATACCAAACCAGACTCCCCCTAAGCAACAAAACCAGGAGTTTGCTCCATATAAATATCTTCTTGAAGTTCATCATGAAGAAAAGCATTCTTAATATCCAATTAATGCATAGGCCAGCTTCGAATGGCAGCTATAGCAAAGAACAACCGGACGGAAGACATCTTAGCAACATGAGAAAAAGTGTCAAAATAATATGTCCCATAAATCTAAGTGTATCCCTTGGCCACCAAACGGGCTTTCAACCGATCAACCTTACCATCTAGACCAACCTTTACAGTGTAAATCCGTCGACAACCAACAGTCGAATGGCCCAGAGGTAAGGAAACTAACTCCCAAGTATGATTATGATGCAAAGCAGACATTTCTTCAACCATTGTCTGATGCCACCCGGGGTGAGAAAGTCCTTCATGAACATTGCAAGGAACATAAACAGAAGAAAGGGTAGAGACAAAGGCATAATATGAAGGATATAAACGATGACAACTCAAAAAATTGTAGATGGGATGAGGGTTGCGTGTAGACCGCATACCTTTACGAATAGCAATGGGAAACTGATCAGCTGGAGACAGGACCGTGGCATTGGAGGAATCGGGCACAGGACCTGTAGTAACAAGGATCTTAGGAACGGCAGTGGGAACATCAGGATCACCTATAAAAGGAACAAGTCTATTGTTGACAGGAAGAGTGGTATTAGTAGTAGACTGAGGTATCGAAACAGACGAAGGTGGGAAAGCAACGTATGGAATTGGTAGAACATCTACTACCAGATCAGACTCCACTAGAGGATGAGGAAAAAATGGAGAAGACTCAAAGAACGTAACATCAGCAGAGATGAAGTAGCGATGTGTGGCGAGAGAATAACACTTGTAGCCCTTCTGAAGACGTGAATACCCTAAGAAAATACATTTTGTAGACTTGGCTGACAGTTTATCCTGACCATGAGGGAAAATGTGAACAAAATAGGTGCTCCCAAAGACACGCGGAGGAAGAGAAAATAATGGAGTATCAGGGAATAATATGGAGTGTGGAACTTGGTCTTGTAAGACAGAAGAAGGCATGCGCTTTATTAAGTAACAGGCAGTTAGAACCGCATCAGCCCAAAATCGGAAAGGGACATGGCTATATAAAAGAAGAGTGGGAGTAGTTTCAATGAGGTGTCAATTTTTACGCTCAGCAATGCCATTCTGTTGGGGACTATAAGCACAAGAAGACTGATGAAGAATTCCCTGAGATGTCATGAATTTAGTAAAGGAATCAGAGAAATATTCACGAGCATTATCACTTCGTAATATACGAATGGTAGTATTATGTTGAGTCTTAATTTCAGCACAAAATGATGAAAATACGAAAAATAATTCAGAATGAGAGCGCGTAAGAAATAACCAAGTGCAACGGGAATAGTCATCAATAAATGTAACAAAATATTTAAATCTCAAAGTAGAGTTAACACGACAAGGACCCCACACATCTGAATGCACTAACTCAAAGGGGGACGCAGCCCGTTTATTGACACGCTTTGGAAAAGAACTACGAGTATGCTTTCCAAGCTGACACGACTCACAACTCAAGGACGATAATTTAGATAGACCTAGGATCATTTTCCGAAGTTTGGAAAGACTAGGATGGCCCAAACGATTATGAAGGATATCCGGAGACTTAGAGATAATGCATGTTGTAGATGGGATATGGAGATGATAGAGACCCTGTGACTCACGTCCTGTGCCAATCATCTGTCTCGTGTCGCGATCCTGTATAACAACAGAGTCAATATCGAAACGAATAGAGCAATTTAAGGAGAGGGTAAGTTTACTGATAGACACGAGATTAAATGGACATTTGGGAATATAAAGCACAGAGTCTAATGCTAAGGAGGGGAGAGGTTTTGCACATCCAATAGCTTGAACATCGGCTTTAGACCCATTGGCTAAAGTAACAGGAGGTAAATATACAGTATTTGTAATCTAGGAAGTAAATTATTACATTCCTATTATAATTCTATTTCCTATTCCTATTATAATTCTATTTTTTATATTACAATGAGAATAATTCTATTTCCTATATTACAAAGAGAATAATTCTATTTCCTATTTTACATTTCAACATCATCTAATGTATCTGGTTCAAGCTCACCAGAAGAAAAACCAAAAGTACAGCATATTGAAAAAGAGCAACATATTCAATCATTCTCAGGTTTGTCAGTTTAGAGATTTTTTCTTGTTCTTGGTACTTGGTTATAGCAAAATGGGCACAAGTTTATATCTTCTGAGGAACCACTAATCTCAAAGCTTAAATCATATGGAATGGTCATCTTTATACACAGTCCCAGTTTGTTTTATATTGTTATTTGAATATTTAATTTATGGAATGCGGATTCGAATGCCTGATCTCTTTAAGTAATAGTAAGATGAGAAAAGTGAGAAATCTCGTGCACCAGAGTTATTAAGTGATACCTTTATCCTGATTCCTAAATCTTGAAGCAACCAGAAGCAAATCCTAAATGCAATCATTGATTTTGAGTTGTTCATGAGGATAGTTTTAAAATTTATGTGCTTTATGGAGCCAAAGACCAAAGTAATTTATAAAAGATATAGTCAGTGACTCACAAATTAAGATCTCATGCAGAGTTGAATAGAAGTTGATGCACACTCTTTGGGTCTTAATACAGTATCTGCTAATGATCACAAAATATTGCTGTGATTTGATCAAATCTATGATCTGTCGCTGAAATTTAGCTGGAAATGGAGAACTCACTCTATATTACTCTTTCATAGTCTTTGTGCTCCAGTTGATTGTCCTTGACAAATGAAACAAGAGTAGCTCTTTTGATAAGAGTTAATGAGTGACATAATTAATGTCATTAGTTTGGCTGTCTGTTTTTATGTCATACAGCTGTCGTCTATCATTCTTTTTGTGAATCTCTGAGATATGTATTTGTGTTAGACTGACTTGAGTCTCCTACAATAGTTGGAAAGCCATTTTGTTTTTCTGGGTTTCCAATTCAAGAGGGCCTTGTGGCTTTACCAATTTTATCTCTTCGAGGACATGTCCATCAGTTCAGCTTATGGCTCATTTTGCTTTCAGTTTTTGTGTACATTGCATATTCATCTACAATTTATATATTTATTTGTGGATTATGTGAGAAAAGGATTCTGATATTTCTTGGAACCAATTTCTCACAATGAAATTTGTAGATACCCTTGTGAACATATCTGTTGGGCTCCTCTCTGTGCTGCGTCATTTTGACTAAGGCTACTGCATGGCTTTTGTATTCATAGGGCTACCAATCAAACGCAGAAAGAGACATAGGAGGAAGCAAATTCAAAATCAAGAACCATGTCTAATGAGAGGTGTCTACTTCAAAAATATGAAATGGCAAGCAGCAATTAAAGTGGACAAGAAACAAATCCACTTGGGAACTGTTGGTTCACAAGAGGAGGCTGCTCGTTTGTATGACAGGTAATATATTGAACTCCAAGCTCATAATGATTAATGTTGCTGTACAAAAAGTACAATTGATGTGGTTAAATACCCAATTTCTCTCTGCCATTCGTATGTCACTGATTCTATTTAGGCAAGTGTAGTCCTCATCAAGAATATCTTTGTGGCGCACACGTGCATACATGTACATGTAGATAGATATTTTTTTGTGTGTGTTAGTTGATGTGCATGACTTTTTCTTTACTACTCTTCAACCTGTGGCGCACACGTGCATACATGTACATGTAGATAGATATTTTTTTGTGTGTGTTAGTTGATGTGCCTGACTTTTTCTTTACTACTCTTCAACCGGGAAGCGTTGAATGTGGGTTTTATGTAATGAGATACATGAGAGATATGGTTGACAATGGGTTGGTAGTACTGAACAACAATGTAAGTTTACTATCCACTTGGATTTCAATGAGTGTTAATGTTGGTTTATTATATAATGATTAAGGGGTTTTGAGAATATCATACATGAGTGTTGAAACACATATCTATAGCACGCCCTTAGCATGGGTAGGAAGTATGCTTAAGCTTGCAGTTGAGAAAATAATTATTGTCGTATGTTTGTAAGGATAATGAATCAAATTCAATCTAAATGTTATGCTCATAGTACAATGTAATTTATGCATTGCTAATGGGTGGCATGTTGTTTTTTGATGAAGCTATTGTGTCTTGTTGGTCTTTTACTATGTGTTTTAATCATATATGTTTTGTAGTTGTATATATACTGAATTTATCTACTATGAATCTTTTATAGATCATGGGAAAAAAAATATACAGAGATGCAAAGGTCGATGAAGTTAGAGGAGAATTGGCAATGTATGTATCAAACTTTTTTAGTTATTGATGTTTTAGTGATGTTAAAGCGTCAATGAGGGGAAAAATATATATCAAACTTTTAATTACTAATGCACTAATGCCATGGGTCTTTTATTCTTGTATATATACTATTGTTCAATTTCGTTTACTAAATTAATTGAAAGATTGTTGGATGTCTAAATTTATTGTTGAATTGTGATAATTGTTGGTTGAGGAATATTATGAATAATTTCATTGCACTATTCCATAATTCAATTAGTAATAATCAGGAAATTAAACTAATTACAAAATAAAAATATTTAAAAAGAAGTTCTTGACAGTTTTAAGATCATCATGGATGAAAAATTATTACTAATAAATTTTATTATTATTATTATTGTTTATTTATTTATTTATTTTAGTTAAAAACTCTTAATAGTTCGAAGACTGTCAAAAATTTGGTTAAAATTAGGTCAAATCTTTGATAGGTTTATAACTGTCAAGAGATTCTTGACTATTCGAAAACTGTCTAGGATCTTTCTTGATAGGGGTTTTAATGACAGTTAAGAAACTGTTGAGGAACCCCTTTGTAGTAGTGAATTTTGGATAAAATGAAATGTAAATAGAAATCAAATAGTTTTTAAGGTTTAATGATTAATAATTGTTTGCGCGAAAATGTGATTACTCTAAATTAAGATGGTTTTTTTCCCTTTGATCACAAAAAGGTACTATGAATAAACTTTGATACTATTATGTATTGAAAACTGATAATGAACCTCTCAGTTACAATTTTGCCACCACTGCCTGCAATACTTAAAAGGAAAAAACATTATTGCATAATTGAATCGAAAAACTTGATTAATATAAATAGGTTTTGATGATACAATACAATAAACTTTCAAATTCATGCAAATCAGAACATGGGATCACTTGGTTTAAACAAAAACCTAGAATGGTATGTTGAACAAAATATATCTCCAAAAATAGGATACTGCAACAGAACATATAGAGTGGTTGGTACAAATGCAACTACACTAGTAAGCATGGTGACACAATTTATGCTATCATGATAAGCTAATAAAAGGGTTGCACTAAAAGCTACCATCATGGTGATTATGGATACAAAGAGTGTAGAGAATCCAACCATCAATTTAAATGGTAATGACTCGAGAAAATCGTCTTCAGTATACCGCGATGTAAGGATCGACAAAAATATCAAGATTGAGATAGAAGAAAAGGACAATGCGATTGCATCTGATATGACAAAAACCTGAAACCATGTCTCTTTCAGATGAATAGGTAATCCTTTACTACTATCGTTACCACCTGGTACACTAAAAACCGCTTCAAAAATTACAGTGGTAATGATTGTTGCAACAAGCATACATGATTTAGCAGTATCCTTCATCCATTGTTCTCCTCTTTTCAATAACTCTTTGTGCTCCTCAGTAAATAACTCTTTCGGTGTTTGGCCATTTGAGTTTTTCTTTCCTCGGAAGGAAGGTTTCACTATTTTTTCTATCCCCTGTAGATATCAAACATGTTATATTTCTAAATTTGGCAATTGAAATTAGGACAATAATTGAATTCAGAAAATTTAATTACCTTAAACCATACCAATTCTCGCTGCATTTGTAGAGCTGCTCCTGATACAACACAAATTCGACTTGGATGTGGTAATTTTGCAGCCAAATGCAACATATTGTTATGTTGATCCTTATCTTCACAAGTTATGAACAAATCCTTAGATAAACCTATCTCATATATTAGATTGAACACATCGGCATGACGGTGTAAAACTGCAATATGAAATATACTGTAATCATTTTCATCAAAATGATATATCACATCAGGATAACGGTGAATGAGCTCAGCCAAAAATTGGGAATTTCCAAATTTAGCTGCCTCAAACACAATTCTTGAAGGCGTTTGGGTTAGGTTTGCTAGCTCCAAGTCATCTTGTTTTAATGTTTCTTCCCACAGGCATTTGACTAATTCAAGAGCTTGAGTTGATTGGAAATCCTTGTTGTGATTCAACTTCATTAATCGTAGGACTAAGAATCAGAGCAGTAAATTTAGTACTATTTAATTAAATGGTTGAGTAAAATCACATGTACGATAAAATTAAGTTAGGTGTTGGAGAAACTAACATGAGTTGATAAGCCTCTTGAATGGACCTTGATTTTTGTTAGGAAATATTGAAGGTTTTCGAGCCAAATCATGTAAGGCAGTCTCACAATTTCGATCACGAGCCAAAGCTAAATCTGGACCATCCTTCAACATTTTTAATGCGAGATCTGAGCAATTCAATAAGTTAATTGTAAGCAAAAATTTTGAAAGTATGTTAATATTTAGCTAGCTTCTTTAAAATTTTCTAAAATTTCTTTACTATTTTAATTTTTTTTTTTTCACTTTTCTATGATTTTAAGAGTTTTTTTTTTTTGAAGTTTCATGCAGCTATTATATTTGTTTAAATGTTTTTTAAATTTCTTTAAACTTTCCTATACTTTCTGTACTATTTTAATTTTTTTGAATTTTTTATTAATTGATTTTCAATTATGTATTTTTTTTAGTTTGAAATTCTATGTTTGCAGAAAATTTGTTTTCGAAAATTATATAGATAAAGGTCTAATTTACTGTAATGGGTATTAAAGTTATAAGCAAAACTACTGAGGGGGCATAAAGTAATGTTTGAAAAAAGTGGTATCAGTTGGTTATTTTCAAGTTACAGGGGTGTATATGCTACGAATTTGCTGAAAAGTTATATATTATTAGTTTAAAAAATTCCTAAAGTGGTAGGGCAGTTGGCTTTTTAACTTTTTGAAATAAGAAAACATGTCAAGAAATATGACTACATTAGTATAAGTTATTATTTGGAATCATATATATAATAAGAGTGGCTGTGTTTGTTTCTTTATTTCTACCATATCTTACTCAAAATACATATTTGTTTCCTTATTCTAAAAATCTAATTATATTTTATTCAACCATTTTTAAGTCCTCTAGGTTTGTTAATTCAACTAAACACAAAAAAAAAAAAAAGTTTAGAAATTGACAAAAATACCCCCACCCCCCACATTTGCCAGATTCTGGCCACCACCACCAGAAGGTGGTCGTAATCTGGCGTAATGACATATTACTGGCTAGATCCGAGGGTCGGTAGTGTGTCGATCTAGCATTTTCCGGCCAAATCTACCGTGGATTTAGTCGGAAAAGGCTAGATCTACGGCCAAAGATATGGTCGTCGACGGCCAGATCTTCGGTCGTAGCTGGTCGTCAAGGACAACCATATCTTTGGTTGTCGTTGGACCAAACATGGCCAGATATGAACTTTTTTGGCTAGATCCACGGTGGATTTGGCCAGAAAAGGCCATATCAGAGCACGACTAGCTAGATCCAACGGTTGTGCGCCATTACGGCGACTGTCGGCCACCCTCCGTGGGTGGTGGTCAACTACCAGCATTTTATAGGTAGGTGAGGGTGTTTTTGTTAATTTTCAATGTTTTATTGTAGGGGTATTTAGTAAATTACCAAACCTAGGGAGTGTTTTTATTAATTTTTCAATCCTACCTTGTAATAACCATCCAACTCAACTTTTTCAAAAATCATACCTAAAATAATAAAACAAACAAACCAATATTATCATATGTTGCAGTACCATGGAAATAAAGTGACATTATTTAAAATATGAATATAGGATGAGTTTTAGAATGAATACCATAATATGTTTTAAACTTATTATACATTACAATTTAATTTAAAATTTGTTATTTCCATTTCCATATATATATATATATATTCTTGTGATAAAGTTTAGTATAAGAGTTGATATGTATAATATTAATTTTTTAAGGGTTGTTTTTAACATGTGCACTAAAGATACACATTAGACAACATTTTTCTTTAAAAAAAAAAAAAAAAAAAAAAAAAAACGTTAATGTAATGAATTGGAATTTGTAGTCTTACCATATAAACCATTGGTGAGACAAGTGAAAAATAGAGCAACTTTGTCGTCCCAATTGAAAACATGTTGCGCTTGAGATAATTCATCATATAAAAAAGATGACATCTCCCCTTGTGCTAACAGAGCAGCCAAAAACACAGGCATCATATTTTCACTACCTCGGATTGCTAAAAGACTGGGATTCTTCTTCAACATAATCCTAGCAATTTCAGTAGCTCCGGCTGCAGCGGCACAACAGAAGGCCGTGCTTCCATTTTGGTCTGACAAAGTCAGGTCTTCTGGTTGCATCGACTTTATCAGCTCCTCTACAAAGCGGGTTTGTTTGGCTCCTGCCGCAATATGAAGAACAGTTTCTTGTCCCTTTGTGATACTGGCAGACAACATGGTTGGATCTTTTTCTAACAATTTTTTGGCATTTGTCCAGTCACCTTTTAATGCAGCCTTATATAGAGGCACACAGTTGTTGAGATAAAGGTTTGAATTTTCTCCTGCATGTGTAAATTCAATAGAAGAAAACAATTTATAAAGTGTTTAACATATAAACATGCATGCGAACTTAAAGAGTGAATATTTGTGCTTAGGTTTAAATAAAACATTCTTCGTAGAAAGAGGAAGAGAAATATTTATTATTTTAATGAACTCATGTATTACTTTCAGCAAAACTCAAGGACGAATATACTATTATCCCTCAAAGAATATGCGAAAGAGCAAGTGAAAGAGAGTGAGCTCACTAGAAAGGAGATGACAGGAAGGTTTCCTTCGTTCATGAGTTGATTCAGTTGAAGTCGCGTTTGGTGTTAGACGATCAATAACTATTTGATGATCACCCATTTTACTCTTTAGAAAGAATATCTTTGAAGAGTTGGTTAATCAAGTCCAGAAGACTAGGGCGGTTAATAAATAGTAAGCTAAGTCTTCGTCAAATAAAAATAGATTATCTTTTTTGGAAATTAATGATTCCTTATTTGACTCATCACCCAACAGAATTTAGTCCCAGGTGAAGCAGTGGCCAAGGGTAGTAATTGCCTACAGCTCAACCTTAGAATAAGGCCTCATCACTATTTGTGACCAATGGCCTCATCTATATTACCATCATCACTTAGTGAAAATACTATTATTATTATTGTATTGCCATTATTATATTGTTGCCGACTTTGAAGTGGAGCATGCTTAAAGGTTTAACCACTCGTGATGAGAACAAAAGGAAACCGAATCTTTAACTGATTTACAACAATTTTTATTTATTGCAGAAGATCTCACAAAATATTTTTTTTTTTTTTTTTTTTTTTTGTTTTTTAAGGAATCATGAAAATAAAGAAAATAATAAATCTGTATTACATACGAATAAATATAAGGAATCAAAGAAAATATGTAAATAAATAGAATATTCAAAAAGTTTATAATATAATATATATATATATATTTATATATATATATATATATATATATACACGCCGTCACCTTGGTCACCATAAGAACTTGGGCGTAATCAATGTTGAATCATAAATATCAAAATAATTATCCAAGAAAATTAGCCCTTGTAACGCACTGGGCGATGTGGAATATTATCTGCGGAATTAGCCTAGTGGTATCAATAACAATTTTAAGTATCAATAAGATATTTTAATTTTTGTTTTTTACTTTCATATGTTGGTATAAGCTGGTCCAAAAGTTATAATTTTTTTTTTTTTTTTTTTTTTTTAAACTTCTTTGGGGATGTTGATACTATCTTTTATTGTTCTGGGCTACTATTTTTGGGCCACTCTGTCTACTTTATTTGCATACATATTGGGAAGTGATTTTTAGCACTTACTGTTTTCCTTTTAACCCCCTTCTTCTACTTTAGGTAAGAGTATAACTATAATAAAAAGTTTTATTCTTCTTCTTCCATACTTTAATTTCAAAGCTTTATAGTTTCAGTTACTGCAAAATTAAATAACATTTAGGTTAATAAGAATTCATCATTTCACTAGTAATATGAAGCTCATGGTAATTATCAAAATGACTTAATATATATATATATATATTGGATTCTTTTCTAGGTTTTATATTTGGAAAGCTATTGAGAATTATATTGTTTAAATAAATAAAAAAAGATCTTGTAACCAAGAAATTGCTAGATTTGGATCAAACAAGGTATTTAAGTTAATTTTTGGAGTGTTTTTTTTAAAGTTGACAACTTTAGAAATAGAAGATATTGTCAAACATTTTATTCATATCAATAAACATCTATATAGCCAAATCATATAAATCCATATACACGTTCATATACAAATACAACGGAAATAAATCAATATTACTAACCTCCAGCCATGGCAATTTGTTGTTGTTGCCTTCTTCAAAAATTATAGATTCTTTCGATGCACTGCAATTCTTAGAACGATGGTTTTTAGGAATATTAAAATTAAATTGAGTGTATTGTGGACTTGTAATTGTTCCCCTTTTAAAATACGCAAAAGTCTTTTCATCAAAGACAACTGCTAGAGATAACTGCTCAATTGTTGAGAAACTGTTCAACAGTTAAATAGTTAAATATTATGTAAAACTAATATATAAAAGTAAAGGACCAAATAGTAATTAATGAATTTTAATTAATTAAAATTCTAACATTCTCCCACTTGGTCTAAACTTTTATTACACAATCCACAACATAGTAATTTTATATTCTTTATGTTTAATTAGAAAAATAGAATTGCATGAATCATAGCGGTAAGTCCCTTTTAACACAAGTATTATCTTCCATGTATTATTATGCAATTTTTCTCTTTCTAAATAAACACTTAAATGTGGAATGTTACTTTATGAACAAACCTCAAATGTTTGTTCCAGGTCCTCCAGAATGTTTGTTTTTCTCCAACCAAAATGTATACAACTTAAAAGAGAAAATAAACTAAATTACAAAGTTTTAATTAATGAAAGTATTACTTCTCATAGTAACAAAGCTTCAGAATGTTGTGGAGAAGACTTTTGGTGTTTTTAAAAAAAGGTTTCGCATTCTTGATGGTATGAACAATTACCTGTTGGAGAAGTAAGCTACAATTGCTATGACATGTTGTGTAATTCATAATTTTATCAGAAAATTCGATATGGATGACCCTATCTTCCAAAAGTTTAATGCCGATGGAGTTTATGAGGAAGGGAATGGGGTGGCTTCGAATCAAGTGACTCAGCGTAATACAAACGACCTGGGAACTCTGAGGGATAGCATTATTACTGCTATGTGGGCAGAACATGAATCCATCTCATAATTGTTAACTGAATATAGGTGTACGAAGGATTCTAAGGGATGATTATTAGTAGCTTCGTATTATTAATTTAGATATGTATTAATGCTGCATTTTTAAATGATATATTAATAGTTGAAATTATTATGGAGAATTTGTTTTTAATTTAGTGATAAAAAATTTACCAAACAACTAATTAATATTATTTAAATGTAAATTGAAAAGTTCAATAATTCAAATAATAAAAAATTTTAATAAAATGCATCAAAATATTCTACTTAAAATCTTTTTTGAAAAAAATATACCAAACAATTATTTAGTAATTTATTTAATTTTAATATAATATTCAAATAATGTACTAAATACATTCAAATTTAAATCCTATTCTATTAAATATAATTCAACTTAATTTTTTTCAAAAGATTATTCTCAAAAGTGCTAAAATAGTAAACTAAACGGAACTGAAATTATCCGCAAAAGAATATGCGAAAGAGCAAGTGAAAGAGAGTGAGCTCACTACAAAGGAGATGAAGGGAAGGCTCGCTTCGTTCATGAGTTGATTCAGTTGAAGTCGCGTTTGGTGTTAAACGATCGATAAGTATTTGATGATCTCCCATTTTACTCTTTAGAAAGAATATCTTTGAAGAGTTGGTTAATCAAGTCCAGAAGACTATAAATAGTAAGCTAAGTCTTCGTCAAATAAAAATATATTATCTTTTTGGAAATTAATGATACCTTATTTGACTCATCACTCAACAGAATTTAGTGCCAGCTGAAAGCAGTAGCCAAGTGTAATAATTGCCCACACCTCAACTTTAGAATAAGGCCTCATCACTATCTGTGAGACTGTGACCAATGGCCTCATCTAAATTACCATCATCACTTATACCATTTATTATTATTATATTGCTGCCAACTTTGAACTGGAGCATACTTAAGGTTTAACCACTCATTATGATGGGAACAAAAGAAACCAAATCTTACACATTTTTTGCCAAAGATCTCACACAATTTTTTTTTTTTTTTTTTTTAATGAAACAAATAAAGAAAATAAGTAAATCTATATTACATACGACTAAATGCAAGGAATCAAAGAAAAATATATAAATAAATAGAATATTCAAAAGGTTTGTAATATATATATATATATATTAAAAGTTTTAATACTTATCAAAGTTCTTAAAATTTAAGCGGAATGGGTTGTTAAGTTAATTTTAGTGTTCATTCTTCATCGTTACAAAACAATCAACCATAAAACCAAATAAAGATCATTAGGGGTTTTTACATGGTTTGACAAAATGCCTACATCCATGAGACCAAGTTCAAATGAAGTTAATCTATTATAGTAAATATTTATAGTTCAATTACAAAACCAAAGTTAAGCATCAATTGCAAGAACACTCCCTATTTTGCAATGCTTCAAACTCCATCATTTGGTCGAATTTCAAACTACCATAGCAAACTTCACGTTCACGAGACCACCTAGTCAGCCTTGAACTCCTCTCAAGGTACAACACCGAAGATGCACTTCAACTCCAAAAGCTTAAAATCCCATCAAGTATCACCAATGGAAACCTACGTTCCAGCCATGAACAAATAAACAAAGTTTATTCAAGGTATTTGTAAGCTTGCCTAAGACATATGAAACCTGATTCAAAACAAAAGAAACCTAAAGGAATTTTCATAGTAATACCAAAGGTTTATTCAGGCTTAAAAAGAATTGCATTGAAGAAGACGAACATATAGAAAACTTGGGCTTCAATGCAAAAGGAACATGTGGCCAAAAAGATACTTTATGCTTTTAACTTTATAAAAAAGTTCATTACAATTTTCTTGGGGCCACCTATCAAAGACAATAAACTTTTTAGCTCATTGTGTAATATTTTGACAAGTGTTATGGACCACAATAATACCTTATAAGAGAATAATAATAACTCATTGGAATTTAGAAATATAATATGTTTTAACTAAAATATCTGTCAGATACATTGTGACCACTTTAACTCAGAGATGCTCATACAATATAACAGAAAAACAACTTAATTGAAGGTGGTCACACTGAAAATTTGAACAAAATGATTATGCTAAAGACAAAGTAAAGTCTGGACTATATATATACGCCACCACCTTGGTCACCATAAGAACTTGGGCGTAATTAATGTTAAATAATAAATATCAAAATAATTATCTAAGAAAATTAGATTAAAATTTTGTTAATAATAATAACTTTTGCTTTAATAGTAATCATGTCTCCAATCTTTTAATTTTAAATAATTGCATACTATTCTTGGATTTGTCTTATTTGTGGAATATTAGCCCTTGTAACTCATTGGGCGATGTGGAATATTATCTGTGGAATTAGCCTAGTGGTATCAATAACAATTTTAAGTATCAATAAGATATTTTAATTTTTGTTTTTTACTTTCATATGTTGGTATAAGATGCTCCAAACGTTATTATTATTATTATTTTTTTAATTTCTCCGGGGATGTTGACACCATCTTTTATTGTTCTAGGCTACTATTTTGGGCCACTCTGTCTACTTTATTTGCGTACATACTGGGAAGTGATTTTGGCCCTTACTATTTTCCTTTTTAACCCCCTTCTCTACTTTAGGTAAGAGTATA